TATATATATATATATATATAATTATTGACTTTCTACTGATATTTGAATGAAAAGAATGGTATTATTTTTATTTGATTTTCTTTTACGTTGCTTTCTGCGCTTTATTCTATATTACGTACGACGACTGTAATCGTTGCTTTTTATGGATTATGTAACAAGTCTAACGTGTGTAATATTAAACTTTATTTGCAATTGAATAGATGACGTGTCATGCACGAGCAATCGCTTTAAACGAGTCGTAATTTTTAAATACGTTATTTCTTTCAGATGTGGTTACTACCAACAAAAACGGAGGATATCAAGGAAAGACAAATTTATACTTGTCCTGTTTATAAAACGAGCGAACGTCGAGGAGTATTATCGACTACGGGACATTCGACAAATTTTGTTATAGCTATGTGGTTACCCACAATAATGCCATCAGAACATTGGATTATGCGAGGAGTTGCACTGCTTTGTCAATTATCAGAATAAAAACATTTTATTATCAATTAAGGCGGGTTTATTTAAATTTTCTTCGATATTTGTCTACCCAATCGATAGAGGGCGTTGTAGACTGTTAAACGTGATTAGTCGAAACAAGTCGAATTCTACAACGAGAACCAATCGCGTGAGCTGCCAGTTCGAACCATTTTATATCTTTTATAGCTATATATTTATTATATTGTAGTTCGATAGACGAAGAATATATACAAAGATAATAAGTGTTAGTGCAAAGATTTTATCTTACATTATTACGTAGGTGTTGCATCTAGAGATTGTACTCTTTTTTTATGATCAGATTCATTAGATAAAGAAAGGAAGAAATATAGTGATAGAAATTCATTTAAAGATGGCCGCACCTTCGCGGCTGGATTACTGTGTCACGTCAATTTTACGTGTCCCTTCGGGATTGCGAGAGGAGTTAGTAGCTGATTAATTCGTGCGTGATACTTATATTGGTTAGAAATTAAAATCGTTATTAAAAATGATCTGATCGCAATAATACGATCGCATAATGAATTGTCATCAAATATTAAGCGGGGCCTGCAATGCAGGCGACCGCTGTTACGCTGTCGGTTCTGTCGAAGGAATATCTTTTACCGTAAGTTTATTACTTTATTTCCTTTAGATTCATTTTTTTCTCAGTGGAACTATATATGTATATATTGTACATGTACTTTATGATATCATCTTAATCATGATAACGATCTTATGTCGTGTTACCGTTTGAAGAAAAATAAATTTGACTTAAGGAAAACGAAAATCAGCTGATTAAAAGTTACTTCTGTTGTGCATACATTTCTTGTATGCCTTCCCTAAAATCATTTATTCGATATTGTATAATGTTGCAACGTTGTAAAAACTGAATCTCTTTATCTATAAATACGTATTTTATATTTTTTTTAGTACACTTTGGTTTATTTCCACATATTATCAAACATTTTTCAATATTTTATACAATAGATTTATATACATATTATATATACATTTAGATATAATAAATTGTTCTTATATATTCACATAATTAATATGATATTAATTGGTTTTAAATTCAGGCTTACGCCGCTGGTTGCAACATTGTCATATTGGCTAACAACTTTGAGCGCGTTCAAATTATACCAGGTGCTGTACACAACTATATCAGGATTAGTTGTTTGGATTGTAGTACGGATACAGGAAAGATTGCTGCAGCTTATGAAAATCAAGTCTGTATATTTGAACCGACACCGCTCATACATAGTACTTGTTCTCATGTGCGTATTATATATTTTGTATGATATTTAACTTTTATTATAAGATCAAGAATATATATATATATATAATGTAAGTTTATCGAATCTTTTAATTGTCATTTTTTTTAGCAATTGGAATATCGTTGGGTTCAAACAGGCAGTTTACAAACAGAGTCTAATATCAGTTCTCTATCATGGAATTTAGAAGGAACGAGGCTATTAACAGGTGGCGAGCTTTTACAATTATGGCATCAAAATATTACGCCATTCCAAGAAGAAAATAGTAAGTTTATCATGTATATGTGCGCTGATAAGATTAAGAAAGAAAATGTATTCGTAATTGGACTCTTGTAATACAACTATTTATTTGTATTTATTGATTTATCAATATTATACACAGCTGTGAAGGCAAAAACGTTACAGTCAGAAGAAAATGCTACAAGTGGAAATGATCAAAATATTACAGCACACTCTTCCCAAGATCGTGAGTTCATTCGTTTTGAGAATGAACATGTTTTGCATGTGGAAATATCGCATTATTATAAAGCTTTGAATATATTTTTATTATTAAATTATTTATTATTAATTTTTGAATATTAGCAAATTCAATTCAATTATTTTATTTAAATTAGATTTTTCTTTTTTATTTAAATAAATAATAAATATATATATATTAGTAAATATAGAACTATTATCTATGCTAGTCAATACTATAATTTCAATTTTTCCCAGTAAATTTTATATAATCAAAAACTGAGCTATATAAATTAATTTAATAAGAGTTCAAAACAGCAACAATTATCTTTGATATAATTTAGCATCATGAGCCATAATAATCAAGCATGAATGTAAGCTTAAATATATTATATTAGCAATGTTAATGCTTTATATGCTATATGTTGTATCCCTAAAATATATATTGAGTATGTAAAGGACGCTATGTTTACATATATTTTTTATTTTATTAAATATAAACTTAGTGATAAAACTGTATAAAAAATTTATGCAAACTTATATGCATGCATATCTTGTCGTAGCTGGAGCAGTGAAATTTTCCATTGGAGGTGAAGCTGAAAGTCCTGGACCTGGAGATTCTAATAACGCCAATGATGCTGGCGCATGGAATTGTGTATGGAAATGTCGTACAGCTACGCCAGTTCATCTTATGAGATTTAGTCCTGATGGAACTTTATTTGCAACAACAGGCATGAATGACAGATTAGTCAAAATCTGGTTTGAAAATAAACAAAGTCAGTATTTTATTTGTATATAAAATACTCAAATGACTACGTCAAATAATTCTATATTTATTTGTTCTCATTTAGTTTTTCCATTACGAAGTATAGATCAATCAAATTTTTCTCAATCATTATCAAGCGATAGTTACAGCTTCGTGTATGTAGCACATCCACGTGCTGTAACTCACTTATCGTGGAGAAAAACAAGCAAATACATGCCCAAGTATGTACATCATATGAAGAAAAATCAAATTTAATTAAAATCTATTTATCCAATGTTTTTAAAATCTTAATACAAATTATTTTTTAATAATCAGAGGTTCAGTATCTAACATGTTGGTAACTTCATGTCGGGATAATATTTGTCGAGTGTGGGCAGAAACCATACCACCTGAAATAGAAGGTTTGGCTAATATGAGTCAATTCGAAGGTTCTGATAGACATGGACATCATGGAAAACATCGCCATCATAATATGCATAAACATAGATTTATGCAACGACTGAAACATATGAAGTATATTGAACATATTTTAATATTTTAATAATATAATGTTTAAATTTCAAGTTGCACGATTAAAAAATATCTTCTATACAAGTTGTTTTATATTATTGTCGTTTTCTTTAGAACATGTTTTCATATTCGTCGCCATGCGAAACAACAACATCAAGCGGGCCATGCTGCACCTACCTTGCCAACTTTACCTTCAACATATTCTGTGCATGATTTTCATAATAATTATCAAAGTTCTGGCCATTATCCAGGGATGCACTTTCACTTAGCAGCAAGCATTAATGCAGAGACTGGTATTGTAATATATTAAATATCTCAAACATATAGATGATATTACTGCGATATAATTTTTAATATATATTTATCTTATAGATATTCCGTTAGTACCAAGTTTAATAACCGGAGATCCTGAAAGAGAACCAAACTTTATTTTACATTGGCTTAATAACAAAGAAATGCATTTTACCATGCAGGCTGAAAGTATTTTACAAGAACTTACACGAAAAGTAGTAGAAAAGGAAGAGGGATTACAACAACAAGAAGTTGATCATGTAGATCACGATTTAGAGGATGAATATGCATTGAGTAAATTATATAACTTCTTCTTCTATATATTTGTCTTTATTTTGTTATCATTTTCAATTCATCGCATGTTATCTTAATCATTTTTTAATGTTTTATCATTCTTTTTGTCGTAATTAATTTATTATCTGTATTTCATAATATAACAACTTCAATTTTAGAAATGTATCAAATATACATTAGGTGTAGAAATTAATTCGGTGCCATGAATAAAATATTAAATTTATTTATAGAAGGCACCTAATTAATTTCTACACTTAATATATATATATATATATAATAAAACTTTACAATGCATGAAGTTTAGTTCTTCGTTAGTGAATATCTTTATTAGGAAGCTTCTTATCCTGTTATGGTATGCTTCATGCAGAAAAAGGGAATCGATCGCAAAATGCACAGAAGCAAGGGGTTGGTGGACGAACCACAAGTCAAGAAGATCACAGTAGCGATGAACATCATACTACTCATACTACTTCCTCTCATCATAGCTTGGCTTATAGTGCACATTCTCATCAAAGTCTTAGGTATGATACAATGATTTTCTATGTCATAAAATATTATCACACTTTATTAAATTATGTATTAAATTAATTTAATAATTTATATTACAGCAACACTACATCTATAAATTCTATTGCAACAGATGCAACACCTTCGATGAATCATGCACCAGATTCGTTGGATACAAAAATAGAAACATTATTAAGAGATTGGCATCATAATCCAGATTTGCTTTTCTCAATTCATCCTATAGACGGAAGCTTTTTGATATGGCATATAGAATGGTTAGACGAATATCATCCTGGTTCATTTAGACAAGCACAGATTTCATTTTCAACCCGTATACCAAATGCATTTCCTCTTGGCGATGCATCTACTATGAGCCACAATGTATCTATGTATTCTCATAATACTGGAGGACCTTTATTGAATATTCGAGAAGTTACTAAATCTTCAACTAAATCTACAGATCGTAAGTTTTCGAATAATAATGATAATAAGTTTTCATTAAGAGGATATAAAAATATTTACACTTTGTAGTACCTTATCCATTTTATCAATCATTAAGAATTTTTTAAAGCTACTGAAGTAACAACACCATTACCAAGCCTTATCGAACAAGACGAGGAGCAATCGACATTAACTTCAAGAGCAGGACAAGAATTATTGAATAGTGTCCAAAATACTGATCAAAGTCAAAATAAAACAACTTCAACAGGTGTTAATAATGCAGAAAGTGGAAAGAATCAAGAATCTGTTAATGATTTGTTAACTCATCCTAGTCCAATGGTATCAATGGTGTCAAAACACTCCAATGGAACGTTAAATCTTTGGCAACTAACATTCGCTGATAAAACCAAATTCTCTCAGGTAAGTTTTTTGTTATTTTATTTGTTTCTCCACCCCATGAAAATGAAATATATTTTTAACATACTGTTTTTTTATATTAGGTGCTAAGCATAGGTCACGCATGTAGAGCTTCTGGGCATCGTTTTAGAGTAAATGACATTACT